CCCCCCCACCACAGCCTAGCCATGACTCCACATCACCGGCCCCACCCAGCCCTGACAGTCCTCGCCCTCATTAACCACCAGCTTCCTTTTCTCCTGCCCCGCCACCTTCTGAGTTCTATCCCTCAGCAGGCTGGGACCCCAGCTCTAACTCACTTCTAGCAGAGTTGAAAGCCTCTTTATGTCATACTTGTTTATTCCCAGGTGAAATGTAACGAGCAGCCTAACAGAGTGGAAATTTATGAGAAAACTGTGGAGGTCCTTGAGCCCGAGGTCACAAAACTGATGAATTTTATGTACTTTCAGGTAAAAGAGCAAAATAATTCTAGGGTTTAATGCAGAGGAGTGGTGCCACTGTCAGCATCACCATGGACTCAGTATAACAAAGTACATGTAAATTAAAGCAACAGCAGCAGCTTCTGAAACAAAAAGGAACCAAGCCTGTGACAGTTTAAAGCTTTGCTGGCCCTTTCAGAATAAACACCTCCCTGGTATTTCACTTCTCTGGTCCTTTGAGAGTAAATTTGCATTTCCTTCATGAAGACTGCTTTCTGTCAGTTCCAAGTATGTTTGTCTTTCTGCCAATTTGTACTTTGGATTCGCCTGGTTTTTCAGGTATTTTCTTTCTCTCAGCCTCACCCTGACTGCTCGCTCGGGTGGCCCTCACCCGGGCCTTGGCCCTTCTCTGACCCTTTGGTTAGGCAGAGTGGCCACATGGTGGGGACTTGCTGGCTTTTCAAATGTGTTCTTTGGAAATGTGTGAAGGTTTTTATTATAGATTCCTTTAAAAATGGAGAAGATAGAACTTATTAGGAGATGAGTTTTTGTTTTATCTTAAAAGTTGTCAAGAGGAAAAATCTACGTCCCCTTCACCTCTGAGAGCTAAAACATCTGTTCTGTAGACATTCTGTTGACGCGTTTTACTCAGCAACTTTGCTTAACAATCAACAAAATTCCTTTTCTTTAGGGATGTAGTTGGTAAATTGCAAAATGAATAGTGATTGTCACAGAGCAAGGACGTGTGGAAATGACTTATGAAACGAGTACCTTTTCTTGTGCTTTAAGTCTGCTCTCACTTGGTGGGTCTTTCATCAGTGAGTTAGGTGACTCCAGATGTTGGGCATGGAGCTGACGGCGCCTTTCTGCTCCTCTTCTTTGCTCAGAGAAATGCCATTGAGCGCTTCTGTGGAGAGGTGAAGCGCCTGTGCCACGCGGAGAGGAGGAAGGACTTCGTGTCTGAAGCCTACCTCATCACGCTGGGCAAGTTCATCAACATGTTCGCAGTGCTGGATGAGCTGAAGAACATGAAGTGCAGCGTGAAGAATGACCACTCAGCGTACAAGAGGTGAGCCTCGTGGAGCCTGGGCTGTATGAGCATGCTGGGGTGGGAGAGCCTATGTGTGCAGGAGTCATCGTGCGGCTTGGAGATGCAGCGAGGCCTCGCAGTGTCATGGGCCCCGGCGTACAGGTTGGTCCGTGTGTGCCATTCCCTCTCTGCTCTCCCATCAGCCCTGTGGGGGTGGGACAGACAGCTCTTGTCATAGGTGTGATCATTGAGGCTGAGGAGACTTAGGAGCTTGGTCCAAGATGGAGCTGCATGTTGGTGGCAGAACCAAGATTCCGTCTCAGACTTTTGGCACCAAAACTGTGTGTGGTCCCTGACTGGTGGGAAGTGTGGTGGCCCAGAGGGTTCTCGGTGCTGGCCATCTTCGTCACTGTGCTCTGGGGGTAACAGGGACAGGCCAGCGTGCAGGGGCCCTTCAGGAACGCCTGCCTGCTGGTGGCACTGCCACATCTCAGAGGATGTCTGTCAGCTGTTCAGGGTGGAGAAGTTCAAAGAGACTGAAATTGTAACAAGCCTCTAAGACCCACATTTCTATAGAGAACTGTAGGCACACGAAGGTGCTCTTCAATTCCCAGCTTTAAAAAAAAAAAAATCATTAAGTACGTTGATTAACTCTGTTTTTTGTTTCTTTGTTTTTTGCTTTCAAAGGGCTGCTCAGTTTTTACGGAAAATGGCGGACCCACAGTCCATCCAGGAGTCACAGAATCTGTCCATGTTCCTGGCCAATCACAACAAGATCACACAGGTGTGGCTGGGCTCTTGGCAGAGGGCACTGAGGGGCCCCGGGGACCAAGACCACACGAGTGAGGTTGTGCTCTGGGCAGGGGCATTGCGGGGCCTGGGGCTGGGGGGCCAAGACCACACAGGTGAGGCTGCGCTCTGGGCCGGGGGCACTCAGTGGCGTGGTCTCTGTTTTGTTCCAGTCCCTACAGCAGCAGCTCGAAGTGATTCCTGGCTATGAGGAGCTGTTGGCCGACATCGTGAACCTGTGTGTGGATTACTACGAGAACAGGATGTACCTGACGCCCAGCGAGAAACACATGCTTCTCAAAGTACGTGGGTGGGGATGGCTGCCAGGGGCCCCCCCGAGGGGTGACAGATTGGCTCTCGTTTCTGTCTGCTCTCCTTGTGCCAGCCTGTTCTTAGTCTCACGCTTGGAGGGTAGTGTGTGTTGGGGAGCGTGTGTGTGTTAGATTTGTGTATGTGTTGTGGTGGGTTGGGGGTGTGTGTGTGTTGGGTATATGTGTTGGGTGTGTGTGTGTGTGTGTGTGTGTGTGTGTGTGTGTGGTGTATGTTGGGGTGTGTGTGTGTTGTGTTTTGGGGTGTGTATGACTGGTGTGTGTGTATTGTGTGTGTGTGTTGGGTGCATGTGCGGGTTGTGTTTTGGGAGGGTGTATGAATTGAGTGTGTGTGTTGAGTGTATATGTTGAGTGTGTGTTGGGTGTGTGTGTGTGTGCGGGGTGTATGTTGGGGTGTGTATGTGTTGGGGTGTTTGTGTGGGGCGTGTGTGTGTGTTGAGTGTGTATGTTGAACGTGTGTGTTAGGTGTGTGTATGGATAGCAGCCTGCACTACAGACTCTTGACACATTCCGGTGAGTGTGTCCTGAGCTGGCCCCAGTGCCAGGTGGATCGCATAGCCACCTCGGGAACATGTGTCCGTGGATGACGAGGTCCTGAGCCTCTCATAGCAGAGGTTATACCAGATTCCATTGTGAAGGATGTAATTCCTAGGAGTTAAGTACAGATGGTTTGACTTAGGATTTTCAACTTTGGTATGAAAGTGAGACACAGTGGGTAGAAACCATACTTTGCTTTCTGAATGTTGAGCTTCTCCCGGGCCAGCGATAAGTGGTGTGAGCTTGTGACGCTGTGCACCAGTGTAGTGTCAGCACATTCGACGTGGTGGGTGAGGCTGAGCAGAGATGTGCACTAGGTTAGGTATGTTTGATGCATTTTAGACTTATGGTATTTTTCACTTAGGATGAGTTTATCGAGATGTAGCCCTGTCACAAGTCGGGGAGCACCTGTAAACTATGTCACCATGAGTAAAATAGTCTTTTGTTGGCCAAGAAACATGGCCGTTCACCATATTATTCTGTTTCAAATTGGGGAGGTTCTCAACTACACTTCTCACTGGGGAGGGGAGAAGGCAGTTCTGCGTTCCTTTCCTTCTGCTGCCCCTCTGTGCAGAGGACAACCCTAGGGGGACCTGTGCTGGGTGTCCCTGCGAGAGTGGGCCCAGCCCTGAGACCTTCCCCACCAAGAGCATCGTGGGGGTCAGGGCTGGAGGGCGCCATTGTCAGCTGCAGGAGCCCTGGCCATGGGTGCGTGTGGCAGTCCATATTTACCACTGCTCTGTGGTGACAAGAGGGGGAGATGAGAGGCGTGCTGGGAGGACAGTGAAGTAGCCACAAGAAATGACACACATAACACAGTAGCCGTGAGTGAAGGAATAGTGCCTGTTTCCCAGGAGCTTTTAAAATTGCTTTTGAAGAAAGAGTGGCTTGTCATTTCACAATTATGAGTTGTGGCGTGTAAGTGCGTATGGGTCGTTAATCTGGCAGGTCTGAGTTTTATGTGCCATTTTGGTTTGTTCAGGTCATGGGGTTTGGTCTGTACCTGATGGACGGGAGTGTCAGCAACATCTATAAACTAGACGCTAAGAAAAGAATAAACTTATCCAAAATCGACAAGCACTTCAAGGTGAGTTACATTTTTTCCCATAAACCTCTTTATTGACATGTATACAGTTTGAGTTTTGGCTGTGAACCCCGGTGCCCGTGACCTGTGCTGGGATGTGGGGGCTCTCGTGCTCCTCTGCAGAGATGCCTGCCCTCCCCCACCTGTCGGCTTTGCCTGGGTTTGAGTCTTGTGTGAGGGCATTCATGCCATGTGTCCCCTTCGTCCCTGCGGGGAGCCTGTGGCTGGAGTTGCAGACTTTTCACTGTGCTGTCGCAGGCTGTCTGTGTTCATACTGTGGTGACACTTGAGACGTTGTGTCTGGTCTGGCTGTGTGACCAGTGCTGCTCTGAGTAGTGCTTGTCTGCACGTTTGTGTTGGATGTTTACCCAGGCATAAGCATTTCCAGTGTTAGTTGACACAGCCCAACAGGTTTCCCTTGTGGATGTGCTGACTGGCATTCCCACCAGCCACTGCTCCACATCTGGGACAACATTTGACACTATCACTTTGTCACCTTTTTGGGGGGGCATCCTGAGGCTGGGTATGTCACTGTGATTTCGTTGGCCAGCGTTTCCTTGTGAGTTAGTTGGTGTTTCCCTGATTACTTTTCATGCTGTTCCTTTTGTGTTCTTGAATGAAGTGTCACTTCACATTTCTTGTTCTTGTTTCTCCTGTGGATTTGTTGCTCTTTATGTTTCCTGGGTGCGTCCTTCATTGGACACAGGTGTTGTAAAGTGCATTCTCCCTACGGGGCTCTCCTTTTCACTGTCTTAAAGGGATCACTTGGTGAATAGAGCTTCTTAGCTTTGATGCAGTTCATTGTATTAATAGATAGGTCTGCTTTCCAGGAATTCTCCAAGTTCTGTTCTTCAGGGTCATCATGCAGAGCATCCCTTTACCTTTGGGAATACGTTGGCTTGCTGACTTCCACACACACTGCTCATAGGCCATTTTTCCTTCTGGACTGTTGTCTGGGATTCCATTGAATGCGAAGATCAATTTAGGGAGAAGGGACTTTTTTAAAATACCAAGTCTTCCAACACGGGAACTTGATACTTTTCTCCATTCACTTAAAACTTAAAAATTTTCTCTAGAATTTTTGGTAGCATTTTTGCTTAGAGATCTTGTATGTATTTTGTTTAGTGAGTTCATACATATGTTTTTATTTCTTGATGCTTTTGTAGATTGTGTCTCTTTACAACATTTATTTATTTATTTATTTATTTATTTTTTAGCTGAGCCATCCTGCCACCTGTTGGCAGCTCAGCTTGGGCCGGGACTCAAACCACTGTTGCTCAGTATTGTGTCTCTTTAAATTTTCATTTTCTAATTGTTGCTCGTAGATAGAAATGCAGTTGATTTTTTTATGACCATGGTTCTAGCAAAGTTAGGTCAACTTTAGTATTGAAATGGTTTTATGAATGTTGGTTCTTAATGTGTATTTTGTTTTTCTTGGAGTGAAGTAGAAGTTGTTTACATCTTTTTCCAGTAAATGATTTGCAGAGATAGCTTTTATCACACAGTAATTATTACTCATTCTTCTTGTGTTTATGTGTTTGTGACTGCACACACATGACGATACTATTTTCTTTGTTCTTTGACTACAGCAGCTCCAGGTGGTTCCGCTGTTCGGGGACATGCAAATAGAACTGGCTCGATACATCAAGACCAGCGCCCACTATGAGGAGAATAAATCCCGGTAGGAGCATGAGCTGCCCAGGAAGTGGCCCTGCAGTGTTCTCATGTGGCTCTGTAACACGCTTCTTCCTTAGTTCATGATAACACCTCTGACATTCTCAGTCACCTGGAACTGAATACTTGATCCTGTAGCCCTTGTCCCATGTGGCTGGGACTTCATTAAAAATGCGGTTGTTTTCCTTTAAAACAGCCACATTTCAGATATCTAATGATTAGTGGCTGTTAGTTATATTGGTCAGTATACATGTAGAGCTTTTTCATTATTCTAGAGAGTTCTATTGGACAGTTCTGGGAGAGAATATAGACATGTAAATACATTTTCTGGGCCCAGAGGTGTGTGGGTAAATGCTTAGCAACCAGCCCGGGGGTGGGGCAGGGTGTTTGCAGGTATCTTACAGGTTGCAAAACCGTCACCCAAAGGCCAGATCCAGCCCAGGCCTTTTTTTGTAAGGCCTCTCTTACTAAGAATGGTCTTTACATTTTAAAAGGGTTGTTTTTTAAAAAAGATGACAGCTATGTGACAGATGTGACAGTGTAGCTCACAGATCCTAAAGTATTCCCTTTCTGGCCCTGTACCGAGACAGGTGGCCAACCCCTGCCATCAGTGGTCTGTAGCTTAACAATTACAGATGATAATAAATATACAATCCTCTTTATCCTAGTTCCGTGTAGCCAGGTGAGCCTCACAGGTGATTTTGTTGACTTTGTCAAAATGCATGTACCTGTAGCCACCCGGTCTCTACAACTCCAGTGTGGTTTTGAAAAACTCATTTCCATCTCAGTGTGTTTATTTGGAGGGTTGCAAACTTTTTCTGTATGGCTGAATTGTAAACATATATGATCTGTGTTGCATATTCTTTTTTGTTGTTTTAAACAAATTTTTAAAAGTGTAAAAACCATTTTGTGTGGCTCTGGGGCCATAGAAACTCTGAATGCATTTGGCCTGTGCTGTCATTTGCCAAACTCTGCGCTGACTCATTTCTTAATAAATGTGCCATTGAATCTGCTGTGCGACCCACAGACAGCTTTTCACCGTCCTCTAAATTACACTCATGAAGCCAAAACCTCTTCCTCGTCAGCCCCAGCTCAGGCTCTGATTCGGAGCTTGTGTGGTTTCCATTGTGTAAATAGTCCCGCCATGACCAAGTTCACACTAACCATGTGATATAGCTAGAAGCACGCCGTTACAGAGTGCTTTCACCCTGACAGGCCCAAATGCCAGAGCAGAGCAATGGCAAAATCAGTACAGATCAGGACACGATGACTTTAGCTTACTTCTTTGGTATGATTCACTGCAAATCGATAGCATTGAATTGGTCATAGTGGGCATGTTCAAAAGCCACCTCTCGGGAGTGGACTTGCTGTTTGGGGCCTGCCAGGGGGCAGGTGTGTGGAGGGTGGACCAGGTACAGGGCCAGGGCAGTGTATGCTGACTGCACTGGCTCCAGGAGCTGCCATGGCTGCCACCAGCACAACCGTGTCACCCTCCTATATAGCAGAATCAGGTTAGATGGGGGACAGCACGACCATCCTCTCTCCAAGTGGGAACTGCATTTCTTCCCTTTGTTAAACACAGCGAGAGTGTTGGTGCTGCCTACGAGGGAGCCGCCCGCTGAGCCCCAGGCCCCGGCTTCTTGCCCAAGACCTCCAACAGTTTTAATTCTTACGAAACTTCTTTCCCACTCAGTTGAGTGTGTTTACTGCTGAAACAGTGTGGCGTGCACACCACCTAACTGCAGGTGATGTCACTTTTCAACTCCCCCAGTAAGGACAAGTTTTGTTCCCCAGTCTGGCTGCCCTGCTTTCTACTGTAGCTTATGTTTTCACATATAAGTAATAGAGTAACATTAGTCCCCACCAGCAGTAATGTGTCAGGGGTCCGAGTATGGCCAGCACCATGTCCTTGGTCAGCCATACCTCTCAGTCTCTTAGAAAGAAGTTTCTCGATGAAGGAGAAGTTAGGATTACTTTTCCAGCACCTGTAAGAGGAGGTGGATCAGAGACCCTGATGTGGGGACGTGGGGCTGGGCCGCTGGCTCCTCCCTGAGGATTCCTCCTCACCCCACAGTGGGTAGGCTGTCCTGTGTACCTGCTGTGCGTGTGTGCCTGGCTGCCCCAGCCTTATACCCCCCGGCGGTGACATGTTTGTACTTCACCACCAGGTGGACGTGTGCATCGCCCAGCAGCAGCCCCCAGTACAATGTCTGCGAGCAGATGGCCCAGATCCGCGATGATCACATGCGCTTCATCTCGGAGCTGGCACGCTACAGCAACAGCGAGGTCAGTGCCCGCCTTTGTCAGACCCACCGAGGGCCCTGTGCTGTCAGTGTGTTCTCTGTGCCCAAGCACTGACTAATCGATGCTGAAACATAACTTAGTACCAGACACTTAAAAGGCGCCCCTTGTGATGGACGAGGCCGTGCAGGTAGCATTGTCTGCATCTGTTCAGCTGTATAAAACTTCTTTTCTCAGGAAACGTAACAGGGATCCCAGAAAAAAGAACTGAGGAGAGACCATGAACTAAGTGGCATTCTTAGTTGAGTCCCATGTTTCTGAGCTGCTAGAGAAGGGTGCAGGGATGGGAGGGCACCAGCGATAGAGTGGTCCTGACTTGTGTCCTCTTTCCTGTCTGGAGGGAGGACGTCCTGAGGCCAGAGGTTCTCGGAAGGACCATTAGCATTTGGGGGGAACAGCTCTGTGCATTGGCCCTCCCCCATTGCAGGACGGCGAGTACCCTGTTCCCACCCACCAAACACGAGTCACCATGTAACCCAAGTGACTGAGGCAGCTCTGATGTCTTGGGCACTGCAGCCACCCCGGTGGGTGGCCAGCACAGTTGTGAGGATAGAGATGGGGGGAAGCTCTCGAGACTTCATGGGGCACTCACACAGGTAGAGCTGATTCGTACCCTCGCAGTCAGTGCCTTTGGGCATGCACAATGGCTCCTGTCTGTCTGGTGTCAGCTGCAGATTCATATAATTATGACTTAGTAAGGAAGAGATCTGCCTTCCAATGCTTTGCTCAGTTTATTTTTAGACAGATTTATGGAGATCTGATCCACCCACTTTAATTGTACAAGTCTGTTTTTTAGTATATTTGGTGAGTTATATATCATCACTGCAGTCCAGTTTTTTTAACATTTCAGCCCCCCTGAAAGCCATCTGTACCCGTGAGCATTCAGTCTCACCCCTGCCATCCAGACGTGGTGATGGTGCTTTCTGTGTACAGATTGGCCTCTTCTGGACATTTTGTATAAATTGAGTCATATAACGTGGTCCTTTGTGACTGGCTGTTTTTTACTCAACAGTGTTTTCAAGGTTCACATAGTAGTTCATATCAATAATTTTATACTCATTTTATGGCTTATTAATCAATTTTATGGTTTATAATTACAAGAATTTTATGGCTAAATGCAATTCTGTTGTACAGACATACCATGTTTTGTTCATTCACCTGTTTATTGGTGGGCATTGCGGTTGTGAATAGTGCTGCTGTGAACACCTGGGGACAAGTTTTTCTGGGGACATGTTTTCACTTCTCTTGGATAGATAACTGGAGTGGAATTGCTGGGTCATATGGTAACTCTGTGTTTAATGTTTTGAGGAACTGCCAGACTGTTTTCAAAGTGGCTGCACCATTTTATATGCCCGTCAGCAGTGTATAAGGTTCTGAGTCTCCACATCCTCGCCAACACTTCTTACTGTTTTTTTTTTTCTGGCCATCCTAGTGTGTGTGAAGTGGTATCTTGTGGTTTGGATTTGCGTTTCCCTAATGACTAATGACATTGAGTATCTTTTCATGTGCTTATTGGCCATTTGTATGTCTTTAGATAAATGTCTGGTCAGGTCCTTTGCCATTGCTTTTTTTTTTTTAGCTGAGCCATCCTGCTACCTGTTGGCAGCTCAGCAGCAGCTCAGCTTGGGCCAGGCATCGAACCGCTGTTGTGCAGAGCTCAAACTCTTGAGCGAGCTCTTAACCAACTGAGCCACTCGGCCAGCCCTGTCATTGTTAATTTATTTACCGTTTTCACTGTTGAATTGAGTTCTTATATATTCTAGATACCAGTCTCTTATCTGATATATGATTTTCAAATATTTTCCCCTGTTCTATGGGCTGTATTTTAGCTCCCTTGATGGTGTCATTTGAAGCACAATTTAAAATTTTTGAGGCAGTCCAGTTTTATCTATTTTTTCGTTGACTGCTTGTGCTTTTGCTGTTACATTGACGAAACCACTGCCTAATGCAAAGTCATAAAGGTTTACCTCTTGTTTTCTTCTGAGAGTTTGGTAGGTTTAGCTGTTACATTTAAATCTAGGATCCATTTTTAGTTAGACTTTTTATATGGTATGAGGCAAGGGTCCAACTTCATTCTTTTCCATGTGGATATTCGGCTTTCCCAGCATTATTTGTTAAAATGACTATTTTCTTCTCTCAGAAGGCACTGTCAGTGCAGGTCAGTTGAGTGTGCATGGGTTTCACTGCAGCATTATTTACAGTTGCCAAGGAAACCACCAGGTGCCGGTCTGCAGAGGCACAGATCAGGGAGGTGTGGTATATGTGCTCCTCACGAGCTAGGGGAGGCACACTGCGCGTGCCGTGCGTATGTCAACACCCAGTCCCTGCTGCGCGAGCGGCAGCTGTTCTCTTTGTGCTGCCAAGTGAGCTCTCCACCTAGGCTCTGTGGTTGCTGTGTAGCCCCGCCCCTCCCCGTAGGCTCGAGTGCCACCATGTCACAGTTTTGTGAGAGTGCCTTTGGGGTAGGTTCCTAGTGGGGTAAACACAGGGAAGTCCTGGCCATAGGGTCACTGCTTGATGCCGCTGTCATGCCCTAGGTTGTCACAGGGTCAGGCCGCCAGGAAGCTCAGAAGACAGACATGGAATACCGGAAGCTCTTCGACCTGGCGCTGCAGGGCCTGCAGCTGTTGTCGCAGTGGAGTGCTCATGTGATGGAGGTGGTAGGTCGTGCTCTTCCTTTCTGGAAACAGGGGAACTAAGGACATCTACCCCACAGTTGGTTACAAGTGGGTTCCTTCTGAAACACATCAAGAAATTGACTAAATGATACTTTTTCTGCATTAATGTGGTCCTTGGATCAAGAACAAATTGGCTTTTTACCTTTGGCCCTAGAGACAAGACTACATCGCAATTTAAATATAAGAAATTTAACATATATTTCATTTATGTGTGTTTCTTTTAAAACTTATTAACAATTAAATTTGTACTGTTATGATTTTTAATTCTCATTTTTAAAGTTTTATTAAATTTATTGGGGTGACATTGGTTAGTAAAATTATGTAGGTTTCAAGTGTACAATTCTATAATAGATCATAATTTTTATTTTTATTTATTTATTTATTTATTTGTTTTAAAAAGATTTTATTGGGGAATTGGGGGGAGGGGAACAGCGCTGGGGAATCGGGGGAAGGAGAACAGACAAGTTGCTGTCGTTTTGTTCTTCAGTCTAGTTGTGGAGGACGTTGCTTCACTGGCCCAAGCTGGCACCATCATTGCGTTCTTCCCGGGTGAGGCAGATCAGTCGCTGGCTTCTGGACGGCCGCTCATTGCGGCTGCTGGCTGCTCACGCTGGCTGCCGGCTACATACGGTAGCTTATGGCAACCCACTGCAGCAGGGGACTGCTGCTTATGCCGTCGCCGGTGACCCACGGCAGCCCAGCCCCAGGTCGAGCTGCTGTTCACCATCTTAGCTGCAGAGGGCAGTCACTGGCCCTCATATGTGGGATCCGACTGGGGCCCTCTGGCATCCCAAGCCAGTTCTTAACCAACGCGCCACTCGGCCGGCCCCATAATTTTTAGTTTTTTGTTTTGTTTTGTTTTTAGCTGAGCCATCCTACTACCTGTTGGCAGCTCAGCGGCTGCTCAGCTCGGGCTGGACTCGAACCGCTGTTGCTCAGAGCTCAAACTCTTGAGCGAGCTCTTAACCAACTGAGCCACTCGGCCGGCCCCTAATTTTTAGTTTTTTAAATGGCATTTTCTCTGTGGAATTCCAGCCTTCAGTTTCTTCGGTTTAGCATTTGTAAAATGGTTTCTGATACCATATAAATATTTGGATACCTTTAGATCATAGGAGATTCTTTCTTTTGTGTATTTTGATTGGACAGAAATTTTATACTGGATGAGTACATGTTCATTTGAAAAGCTAATTCTTTTTTTTAAATGGTGATGAAATGCCTAGCGTCTTAGTCCACACACTATCCAGGCCATTTCACCTGAAGTCGCATGGGCGGAATGTTGTGTGGTTTTATGGAGGTGGATTCTGTGTGTGTGTGTGTGTGTGTGTGTGTGTGTGTGTGTGAGAGAGACAGAGAGAGAGAGAGAGAGAGAGAGAGAAAGAGAGAGAGAGAGGAAGCCTTGCAGATGTGCACACAGTAGAGGGCTGGCCTTGGGTAGCTTGGCAATGGGCATGTCCGTCAGGCCAGCAGTTAAACGTTTTGCATTCATGTGGGTGTCCCTTCTTTCTGATTGCGCCAGTACTCATGGAAACTTGTGCACCCAACGGACAAGTACTCCAACAAGGACTGCCCCGACAACGCCGAGGAGTACGAGCGAGCCACCCGCTACAACTACACCAGCGAGGAGAAGTTCGCCCTAGTGGAGGTGCGTTTTGTCTGCTCTCTCCTCCTGCGTGGCTCTGGCTGCAGAGTCTTCCCTTCAAAAGCAGAGGCAGAAACATGAACAAACTGCCTGTTTCATGTCGTGGCTTCTGTGTAGGGCACCCTTTGCGTCTGTCACAGTTGTCAAAACAGAAGATAAAATAGGCTGTGAGTTTTGCGTTGACAGCTTCCCAGGGGCAGGTCTGGGCCTGTGAGCAGGGCACAGCTTCTTGGTGTGGGGACATAAGAGGAACGAGAAGCCACCTTGGCATCTGAGAGAGGAGCCCCATTTGGGGCTCTGGAGTGGCCAGCTCTGTGCTCACATGCCTTGGGTGGTGGCCTGAGGCTCTGCAATGTCCCAGGAGTCTTCTGATGAATGGAAGTTAATTTCTGTGCCATCCAGTTTCTTTCCTTTTGTATTTGTACTTTTTCTGCCTTTTCTAAGAAAGCTTTGCAAGCTCTAAGGTCCTGAAGATGTGCTTGCCTTCTGGATGTATTATCATTCGGCATTCACATTTAGATCTGAAAAGCCCCCGCACCCCCACCCCACGTACTTGCCACATTTGTTGTGAATGAAGTAACCACTTCTGGTGGCTGTTTCTGCTGACTTTCCATTGGGCGCTTTGTCTCTCTTGGGCCTACTTAACACCCCTCCGTCTTTTTTTTTTTTTTTTAGCTGAGCTATCCTGCCGCCTATTGGCAGCTCAGCGGCAGCTCAGTTTGGGTTGAGCATCGAACCACTGTTGCTCAGAGCTCAAACTCTTGAGTGAGCTCTTAGCCAACTGAGCCACTCGGCCGGCCCTTTCATTTCACTTTCTTAATGAGGTCTCTTGAAGCACAAAAGTCTTTAATTTTGATAAAGTTCAATTTTTTTTAGTTTTTTATTGTTTATGGTTTTGGTGTCATATATTAAGAAACCATTGCCTAACCCAAGTGACAAAGTTACTCCTGTTTTCTCCTAAGAGTTGTATAGTTTTGCCTCTAATATTTGAATGTGATGTATTTTGAGTTAATTTTTTTATGGTGTGAAGTAGCGGTTGTGTCAGGGGTCCTCAAGACCACCTTTACACCAGATTTACTAGAATGATTCAGAGCACTAAATAGCTGTTCTATTCAAGGTTATGATTTATTACAGCACAAAAGGATACAGATTAAAACAAGTAAAGGGACAAAGCACATGGGTAATGTCCAAGAGAAACCAGGTGCAAACTTCTAGGTGTCCCCTACCCTGGAGTTGCATGGGATGTGCTTAATTCTCCCAGCAGTGATGGGTGACAACAGTGCGCAGTGCTGCCAACCAGGGATGCTCACCTGAGCCTCAGTGTCCCGGGCTTTTATTAGGGGTCGATAATGCAGGCATGTAACATGTGCGTGATTGACCTCAGCTACTCAGACTCCGGGTCCCCAGAGTGTTCCAGGAGCTCAGAGCTCAGTTTCTGTGAGTCAGCAGGGCAAGACCTGCTTGGGACAGGCCTTTCTTGGGAATGTGCAGGGACTGGTCACCCCAGGCCTGCTGAGGGGCGCTGTGCACAAGGGGCAGTAGCCTCCTGGGCATGCTCAGGCTGCCTGAGAAGGAGCCGTGTTCTGTCACCCTCCAGAAAGCCGTGTATCCCCACAGGTGATCGCCATGATCAAAGGCCTGCAGGTGCTGATGGGCAGGATGGAGAGTGTGTTCAACCACGCTATCCGGCACACGGTATATGCCGCCCTGCAGGACTTCTCCCAGGTCACGCTCCGGGAGCCACTGAGACAGGCCATCAAGAAGAAGAAGAACGTCATTCAGAGGTCAGCCTCCTGCACTTAGTTTCCAGTGCTGGAGTTTCAGTTTCGGTTTACACAGCAGTTGAATTATCTTTTCATAAATATGCTCAGTGCATTTATCTTCAGCCTCAGACACCCTCTTGGTGACTTCCCTCTAAATATAATGTGGTGGGTCCGATTATTAACCTGAGCAGCCCACAGGAAACCCACTGCAGTATCCACGCAGTCGGGAGACCAGGGCGAGCAGTGTGTTTATCTCGGGGCAGGGAGGCAGGGGTCTCAGAATTCATCTGACAATTCTGATCCAGGCCTGCAGGGACATGCAGCATCCCATCTGCCATCTCAAAGTGTGTCATCCTCAGTATTTTTGTTCTGTTCCTTTTGGCTTGTCATGTGAACTGGTCAAGAACTGCGTGACTATTGCCAAGATCCTGTGGCAGTGTTGAGCTGGTTTGCTCTTCATGTTTAGCTATTTATTTATTCATTTATTTTGAAGATTTTATTGGGGAGTTGGGGGAGGGGAACAGTGTTGGGGAATTGGGGAAGGGGAACAGCCAAGTTGTTGTCCTTCAGTATTAGATGTGGAGGGCGCAGCTAGCTCCGCTCCAAGTCCAGTCGCCATCTGGCCGCCCATCAGCAGCTCGCGGCCGCTCAGCTCAAGGTGCTGTGTTCAATCTTAGTTGAGGGTGGGCATAGCCCACCATCCCATGCAGAGTATACCGGCAACCTTGTTGTTATGAGGACATGCTCTCACCAGCTGGGCCATCCTGCTACCTGTTGGCAGTTCAGGGGCAGCTCTCAGCTCAGGCACAGCATCACTGGACCATGTGGGAATCGAACCGGTGTCCCTGTTGCTCAGAGCTCACGCTCTTAACCAACTGAGTCACTTAGCCAGTCTCCATGTTTAGCCTTTTAGATAAAGTTGTCTTTCCCAGTCATCGATGTGGAATGAAGCTTACAGGGGCTTGCAAGCATGTTGATTTCCTTTTGTTGCTTTATAGTGGATGTGCTTGTCATCTGGCATGGTATGATTTTTAGCATTAATTAATGCTCATGCTTGTCATGTGGGAGGCTCTGTATGTGAGAGCATGCAGGTGGCCTGGGAGTGACCCAGGTGTTACCTAGAACTGTCCCCAGGAGGTGGTGAGGATGGGTGTGAGGGCACATCTCCAAATGTGGTGCCTGTAGGTGTCTCCGCATGGTAGAGCCCTGTAGGATGGTGACGTGTCCCAAATGAATAGGGACATGGGTCCAGTTCCCACAGTAGTGTTGATGACATCATGTTCTGTTAGAAAGTGGAGTTGGCGCAGGAGGCTTTCCACTTTCTGAATGGATGCTTGTGGTCTCTCCTGCTGCTCTTAGCACGACCAGTGTTCAGAAAATAAAACATCATTTCTGGGCTAATTGACGCAAGTTACAACTACATCAGATCTTCTGGGGCTAGTAATGTCCCCAAGAGAACAAGCTATTTTTAAAATTTCATGTTGACCTGGCCCATTACTGTGTCCCCCCACGGCCCCCAGAGTGGGGTGTTCTGAGAACTGTGTGTGAGGCGGGAAGATGCTGTGACTGTAAGAGTCCAATGGGGTCAGCGCCGCGTGTCTCCCATTTAGTGTCCTGCAGGCTATCCGGAAGACGGTATGCGACTGGGAGACAGGGCACGAGCCCTTCAACGACCCGGCCCTCCGGGGTGAGAAGGACCCCAAAAGTGGCTTCGACATTAAAGTGCCCCGCCGCGCCGTGGGACCCTCCAGCACGCAGGTTCTTGTTCCCCGAGTGGGTAGCCCTGAGCTGGGGGGTCGGTAAGCGAGGCTGGGGGTGAAGTAACGTCACCTGTGTGCTCAGGCAGATCAAGCACTGCCTGTGTCTTCCTGCCCGCGTTGGTCTGGAGTCTTAACTCGGACACCCTGTGACTCTCGGATTGGGTCATTTGCATGCAGAACTTAACTTACTGCATCAACTGCCGTCCGCAAAATGTGGGTGAGAGTCTGTGTCCGTATTTACACTGTTTCCGGGTGGGTGTTTAAGTGCATGGTTATAATTTTCACATTGGGCCTAAAAATATCATTCCTAAAGATAAAACTTTTGGAAATTTAAAAATGTGGCTTTCGTGTGTCCCCAGTCTTAAGCCACCACCGCTGTTCTCTGTCTGGCACGCTTGGGCCCCACCATCCCCCAAGCAGCTTCCTTCTGACTCACACCTGATAATATGCCCTCTGCTTTCTTCTCCCGTTTTGGAACTTGGTCCTTTTTACTCATCACGTCTCTGTTGGGGGCCTTTGTCAGCTCTTCTGCCAGTCTTTCAGAGAATTCCCAGCAAAGCACGCTGCTGGCTGTGTATGAAACAGTTCAGTGTCTGGGAGGAAGGCCTCCGGCCGCCCCAGGAGCACCCTGTCCTGGGTCTGTCCAACGTGCATGTGCCTTACCCACCCTCTGCCCTGTGTGTGTGTCCCTGCTCCGTGATGCGTGCTGTGTGACTAACGGCTCTCTCCCACTCTCCCTGTCTGTCCGTGTCTAGCTGTACCTGGTGCGCACGATGGCGGAGTCCTTGAACTCCGCCGAGCTGCTGAGGCAGCTCAAGTCTTTGGGCATGGAAAGGCTCTTGCATGTGGTTAACGCGTTTCTGAGGCAGTCCTACACCTATCCGCCCCTTTTAACCTTTGGTGGTAAGACATTGTTTGTTTATCTCGTTGACATTCGTGACATGGAGGCGAACTGCTCTGCTGCGAGTTCTTCCTCCCGGCAGCAGAGCTGGGCGCCCTGACTTTGGGAGCTGGCTCTGGTCGGGGCGTGGTGGAGCAGTCCTGCCCTGTGGCCGATTGGAGTTTGGCGTAACTAATGTACCCTGTGTATTTTCTCCTCCGCGATTGCTTCCATGGCTAATGCAGCTTTACATGGTGAGAACCATGCTAGAGTCCCTCATTGCAGACAAAAGTGGTTCCAAGAAAACCTTGAGAAGTAGCCTTGAGGGGCCCACCATATTGGACATAGAAAAGTTTCATCGAGAGTCATTCTTCTACACTCACTTGATAAATTTCAGTGGTAAGAGATACTGCTGAGCAGCGTCTGGCCCAGCATGTTCTAACACCGCTAACACCGTCTAGAATGCTTCCGCCTGCCTGACATCCCCTGCTGTTGGTCCCCTTACATGCCCAGGCGGTGACCTGTGTCGTAACCTTCGTGGCATTCCCTCACTTATCGCTTTAAATGCATGACTGGCCGGGGGCTCCCTTCATGTGGCATGGCCCTTAGGGTGAGGGTTTGGGGGCCGTAGCTGGCCCTTCAACCTGAACACATAGTCTTTGTAACCACACAGTGCCTGAAAAATAGGCGAATATAATCACTGTCACCAAGACAGTGATAAATACCAGAAATAGGTCCCTTGGGCATGACCTGACAGGCAGCCTGTCCTGGGGCGATGCCAGTCACTTGACAGGGGCACCAGGTGGACGCCCTTTGTCATCATGTAGCCGCCTATGTTTAGCTGTGTCATAGCTGCTTGCTCAGAACAGGCGGCCCCTGTTGTGGCTGGGGTGCTGCAGGTTTTTGTTTTTCACTCCATCACAGGACAGAAACTGTTAAAAAAAAAATCTGTCTCTCTTTTGCATTAGGTAGACCTGCACTGCGTATGTGTGTAATGTTTTGTATCTAACCTAATTAAAATAAATAATCCTGCTTTTATTTCTCCTTTTAAAAAGGACTTTTTTTTGTTCTCCTGCCCCTCCAGGGGCTCACAGAGATGGCAGGGTCCATTAGCATTAGCAGGCAGTGGTGTTCGCACCGGGCCCATGGGGCCGGATGTTGACTCTGCTCTTTTCATAAGTGAGAATGTGCACAGTCCAGGGTGGCTTTGCCTGCAGCCACTCCAAGCTTGTCCCATCCCTAGTGTTAGGTGCCATGTGTCCCCTTCCGCTCATGGCCGCTCCTGCATGGCTCTGGGCTGAGAGCGCAGCAGCTGCGCCGGCACGGGCCTTCTCCTGTCTGTGTCCTGCCTGCTGAGTCCTCTGCTTGCAGAAACTAACGTGGTGTCATTTGGACCTTACAGAAACTCTACAGCAGTGCTGTGACCTCTCACAGCTGTGGTTCCGAGAGTTCTTCCTGGAACTGACAATGGGCCGGAGGATCCAGTTCCCCATTGAGATGTCCATGCCCTGGATCCTGACAGACCACATCCTGGAGACCAAGGAGGCGTCCATGATGGAGTGAGTGTCCCATGGGCCCATCTTGGCTCTTTGTTCATGCTGATGGGGGTCTTTGGTGGCGTGTGGGAGCTGGGAGGTGGAGGAGGGGGCCGGACTGTTCTCAGCACTTCATGTGAAGTTATAATTCTTGGGGTGAGACTTTCTTTAATTTAATTTATTTTTTTTAACTTTAGGGGAACAGTGTGTTTTTTCGGGGAACAGTGTGTTTTTTCCAGGACCCATCAGCTCCAAGTCAAGTTGTTATCCTTCAATCTTAGTTGTGGATGGTGCAGCTCAGCTCCAAGTCCAGTCTCCGTTTTCAATCTAGTTGCAGGGCGGGGAGAGGGGGACGCACGCACAGCCCACTGTCCCATGCGGGAGTTGAACCGGCAACCCTGTTGCTCAGGGCACAGGCTCTCACCAGCTGAGCCACCCAGCATCCCAAGGGGCGAGTGAGACGTTAGAGATTAACACAAGTAGCAGGATTCTTGGCTTCTGACTGAAACCAGGAGCTCAGGCAGTAGGACTGATTAAGTCCCATCATGTCCAGGCACTGGTGAGGCCCTGGGGACTCAGCCAGGGTCACTGAGAGGAGGTGTGGCCTGGCCTCTCGCATGGCACAACCTCCAACCCAGACAAATTTGGGAGAAGATGTGTTGATTGAACAGCTTGGTTTTGAGATTGGGCCTCAAGGCTGGGGCAGGGAGTCAGAGACTCCCAAAAAATGAAATCCATGAAACTAGTAGGAAAGGGGGTGTCTTGTAGTGAACAGGTTGGGGATGGACCCAGCAGCTGCTCCCTCTACTTGGCGGGGCACGTGGGTGGCTCCTCTCTGCCCGTGTGCATCAGCCATCATGTGGCGGGAAGCTGCTGCCAGGGTGAAGGCAGTGTGGAGCGTGGGGACTTGCATGGGGCCTTGCATGCTATGTGCCTCTGTTGTGCCTCTGGGGTTGGGCTTGGCCCTGCTGCTCACACTGCCTTGTGCACTCAGGGGGACCTTACTTCCAGGGACTGCTGGCTGCCTCCTGTTGTCCATGGGGTACGGGGAGCAGGGCTTTCAGCCACGCTGGACATGCTCGTGGTCATCTGTGGGACACTGGACCTTCATAGGTTTTTATTTTTAAGTCAGGCAGTTCATTCTTAAAAATAAGAAAATACCTTGTTTTTGTGGTTATGAAAAATACCACATACTTGTAGTGAGAAACTGAAACATGACAAATGAGAAGATGCAGTTGCTGGGGTTCCTCGGCCTGCTGGGTCCCTTGGGCCTGACCTGAGTCCTGTGTCCTTCCCGTGGGGGTTGGCTGGCCGTTGGGGGTGCAGCGGGGGCCCCAGGGCATGGGCCAGGTTTGGCCTCTGACGTGAGAGACTGAGCCCTGTTGTGAGGGGAGGGTGGTGTGAGGCATGAGGGCCTGAAGCTCCGGGACACCAGGCTGACTGCTCTCCTCCACAGGTATGTGCTGTACTCCCTGGACCTGTACAATGACAGCGCCCACTATGCCCTCACCAGGTTCAACAAGCAGTTTCTGTACGACGAGATTGAGGCGGAGGTGAGATCCCAGTACCTCAACAAGCATCTTAATTTCCTTTCTCTGAGTGTCAGAGGAAGCAAACGTTCTTTACAGTACAAGGATCAAATGGTGGGGGAACTATGGAAATGAAGCTTTTGGGGTGAACCCTTCTGTCTACAGTTTTCTCTGTGCATCTGCATGTGACAGTTGGAGTCTTAGAACATAAGCTGTTGGGTGAGAGGCGTGTCCACCTGACAGCACATCATGAGCACGTTGGTGTCTTTGCCAGTCTCTGTCATGCACTGCCTAAAGCAGGTGCATCGTACTTAGTAGATGTGCTGAACTAGCCCCTATTCTATTTCTGGTTCTTTCGTTTTAGCTGTTTAGTTTTGCTCATTATAGTCTTGTGCACATAATGACATTGCTGTCAACAATGGACCGCATGTACGAAGGCAGTCCCTTAAGATTGTAATGGAGCTGAAGATCCCTTTTGTTTTATGGCTGAGTATATGTACCACTGGGTGTATGTACCACTTTTGTCTCCATCCATCCATGGATGGGTGCTTTGGTTGTTTCCATGTCTTGGCTACTGTGAACAATGCTGCAGTGAACATGGGGGTGCAGGGACCTTTTCATGCCAGTGTTTGTTTCCCTCAGATAAATACCCAGAAATGAATTGTACGTTTTATTTTTCTTCAGGTGAATCTGTGCTTTGACCAATTTGTTTACAAGTTGGCAGACCAGATATTTGCATATTATAAGGTTATGGCAGGAAGGTGAGTATGTGGTTTGTGATTTGGGTATGAAATCTTGGATAACTTGATCTGACGTTTCCATTAAAATTCAGAGCAAGTGAGAAACGCCCTGTCTTCTTTCTGTTCTAGTTTGCTTCTTGATAAACGGTTACGATCTGAGTGCAAGAATCAGGGGGCAACAATCCATCTCCCGCCGTCTAACCGCTATGAGACGCTGCTCAAGCAGAGGCACGTGCAGGTGAGTGGGGCCTTTTCCAAGTGTGGCGACGCGTGGAGCTGGCCCTAGGGATGGTGGGGTTTCCTTAGTCTTCACTAGAGTTTAATATGTCATGTGACTGTGGGAGCATCCTTATAAAAGGTATGATTTTAAAGACAGTTTCTATGGATACCCTGAAACATGGGAAGACCTGGAACACCCTGCTGGTCTGGGGGCTTCAGCTCCTCCCCAGGAGCCCAAGAGCTGAGCTTAAAAGGAAGCTCTGATAAGTAAGAGACGCTTGTCAGCTCAGGAGTGTTGGAGACGAGCTTTCACTTGGTGGGCGCAAAGAATAAAAACACAGTGCTTGTTTTTTGTTTCTTTAAAAACATTGTGTATACATCACAAAAAATTAGGAAAATACAGAAACCTGTAATGAAAATTCCTTATCACTCTGTTATCTATCTACAGATAACCACCATTCACACTGTGGGGCGTTTTCACCAGGGTTTATTCATATTTTTATGTTATTGAAATGACATTGAGATACACATATGTTACTGGGACTCTGAAATAGAGATGGGGTAATTTCTCTTACTTGTCCTTGTAACACTGTGGAGGTTCGGAAAGTTCAGGCCACCCTGAACATTGCTGTGCTGACAGACCCCGATTCTTCAGGGTCTCTGCCCATGAAGTCAGTGTAAATTCAAGAACGCTACGAAAGTCCTTTATGGCTCTGACTTGCAGAATTTCAGCTCCAGGAAAGGAGGGTATTTTGTCATGCCACCTGTGAATATAATTTAATCTAAAATGTTTAAATTTTGTACATTGCTTGTCTTACCTTTCAGAATCCATTTTTAGGGGGGGGGGGAGAGAGAGAGAGAGAGAGAGAGAGAGAGAGAGAGAGAGAGAGTACGTGTGTGTGTATGAGGTGTAATAAAAAAATATAGTGAATGCTGCTGCCAAGTGCCATCCAATGGAAAGGCAGGGATTTTCAATATGGGAAGCGGTGCCTCGAACCTTAGTAACAGTATGATAAGTTTCAACTTGTTCTGTGCAGTCAGTCGGGTGTGAGCAGAAGGTTGAGAGAAGGTGTGTTTTAAAGTGTGCCGTAAATCATGGATCACAAACAAGGCATGAAATTTTGTTTTAAACTACAAAAATGTGCTAAAGAAACACACGAAATGTTAAAATTAGTGTATGGTGATCCTGCAGTGACCATGATCTGGCACCGTGCAACTTTTGGCTCTTCCCGAAAGTCAAAAAGACCATGAAAGGAAAATGTTTTGAATTGATTCAGGACATTGAGGCAGCCATGACAGCACAACTAAAGACACGAAAGAGGGCTTCCAGAACTGCTTCAGAAAGTGGCAAGAACGATGGGATAAGTGTGCTCAAAGTGAGAGGGAGTGTTTTAAGGGGGACTAATGGCATTTTGTCTTTTAGTGCAATAAATTTTCTTTTAAACGTTCACCGTATATTTTGATCACACCACGTAGGAGATTTTTATGATTCTTGCTGAATTGTTTTAGTTGTTGACGTCTTTCTCTCCATCCCCCAGCTCCTGGGCAGGTCCATAGACCTTAATCGTCTTATTACACAGCGTGTCTCAGTGGCCGTGTATAAGTCTCTGGAGCTGGCTATTGGTCGATTTGAAAGTGAAGACCTGACATCAATAGTTGTAAGTGCTCTTTCCTTTCTTGGGCTCAGTGGATTTGGGGGAGACTGGTTTCAAAGATTAGAACTAATTTTACTTTGGTCCTTTTTGATAAATTTAACCAATGATATGTTCAGATTTTTCCTAGAAGTCCAAATTTATTCACTAATTGAGTTTGGCCTATCCTGGGTCAAGATAGTGTTCACAATTCTAAGTTAACTTCAGAGAACAAATAATCCCCATCTTGAATAAATTATGCCTAATATGGCAAATGAATGAAAGGAGGAAAGTTACAAAAACCAAGCAGAAATGAAGACAGAGAAAAAGGATTTGAGAGAAAATCATATAGTAGATAGCGAAGTTCCAACATACACATAGGGGCCCCTGAAGAAGAAAACCAAAGCAACAGGATGGAACAAACATGAAAAATTGTGTTTGGGAGAGTAACATCAGCATCACGGAGTGAGAAGACAGATCTTTTGTATCTCCCCCTGGGTTTACAACATGTCAGACACTGCTAATCCAGCATTGGTCCCTCTGTTCAACGCAAACACCGAGAGAGCCACGCATCAGCGCATCTGGAGGGGGAGTACTGGGACACGTAGAGGAGGCAGGACGGGGATGGACAGGGATGGTGGCTGCAGGTGTAGTCTAGAGGGCACAGCTAACATGGTAGTGCAGGAATCTGGGTGGCCTGTACCCTGTGCCTGGCGGTGGGTAGGGGCAGAGGCAGCATCGGTGCTTGGGAACCTGGGCCCCGTCCCCCATTTTGGCAGAACTTGGTGGCAGCAGTGGAAATAACGTCTACGGCCCCATGGCTACTGCAAAGTGGTGCCAGTCGCCATAAGGAACCAAGGAGCAGCTGTGGGCTCATGAAACTGGCTCCCCGCCACTTGTCACATCCCCCCATTCCCTGCCACAATGGTGGTGCCCTGAGACAGCAGGGATACCCACCACCCCAGTCATCCTAGCGTTCATTTCTATAGCTACAGTGATGCCTCCTGAGGCGCAAGGAGCACAGGTGAGAGAAAACAAAAATATGCCCATATCGCCATCTACTGGGAAACAAAAGAAAGACCTAAATTCTCTAAACCTCAGATGCACAGGTAGAGGGACAGTCCATCAAGTACCACCAACAGCCAAGGCTACGAGGGTGGACCTTGAGTGTGTCGTGCTGAGTGAAATCAGTCAGATGGAAAAGGACAAAAAACATGATTTCATTCATATGTGGAGTGTAAAACAAGTAACAGATGAACTAACAAAACAAAAACAAAGCCAGAGACACAGAGATAACAGAATGGGGGTGACCAGAGGGGAGGTGTGGAGGGGGAGGGCAAAGTAGGTACAGGGGTCACATACATGGTGACAGAAGGAGACTAGACTTCGGGTGGTGAGCATGCAGTAGAGTATACAGATGTCAAATTATAATATCGTACCCCTAAAACTTATGTATTATTAACCATTGCTACCGAATAAATTTTTTTCTTTTTTTTTTTAATTGAGGGAGGGGAACAGTGCTGGGGAATCGGGGAAGGGGAACAGACAAGTTGCTGTTGTTTTGTTCTTCAGTCTAGTTGTGGAGGACGTTGCTTCATTGGCCCATGTTGGTATTATCATTGCGCCCTTCCTGGGGGAGACAGATCGGTTGCTGGCCTCTGGACGGCCGCTCACGGCAGCTTTTGGCAACTCATACCGGCTGCCAGCCGCTCATGC